ACATAAACAAGATCATTAAGTCTTTGATACTCGAGTCTATTTCTCTTTTTAGAATGAATATGTTCAAACATACTCTAATTTCTCTTGCAACTTGAAGAACTACATGTTTGACTTAAAACTCGAATTGCAAGTGTTTGTACATTTGGTGCACTACAACCATAACACGTCCACCATTCATCTGTACCAATACAAAATAGGCATATGTTACATAAACTAAAATATGAATTTTATAACATAACATGAGAATAACAATTTACCAGGAGCCATTCTATGACGATCAGCTACTGCAGATAAACGTCCAAAGTCACCATGTGCTTGCCTAAATAATCTCATTTCACTAGTCAATTTGCTTCTTAAATCAAGTTGACCATAAGAATATCTCTCGATTACATCTAAAAGTTCTGAAATAGTTTGTTTATGATTTTCCATATCAAGATTATTGTATTGAAAAGAAGGGTTTAACCAATACCTGGTGGCATGAAGATTCTTACGCAATTGACTATCCCATCGATTCTGAATAATTTGCAAATAAGGAGCCACTCTATTCTTCATTCTTTGAAATCTGCGCTCCATCTCACTTTTTGCCACATGAATAGCTTCATACAAGTAGCCCATCGAAGGCTTTTCATCACTATCAACAATCCTTAGAACACGAACGAGAGGCTCGGTAAGTTGCACAATAGTAGAGAGTAAGTTGCACAATAGGAGCACACTCTTTCCAAAACACTGAATCAAGTACATCATCAACAAATCTTTTTCCTTTACTTTCCTTTGCATATGCTGATAAAGTCCATTCTCGAGATGTCACCATTGCTCTTAATGGATCCTTTTGGGCCAATATGCTTTGTAGAGCAATAAAGTTAGTGGCAAAACGAGTAGGAGCGAGTCGATGAATTTCCCTTCTTCCAGTAAACTTCCTCATCAAATGCAATGGGTAGCAATGGTTGTATATATATTTTGTAATTTTCGATGCTTGAGATACGACATTACTAACTTCATCAAGCTTACCAATATCATGAAACATTAGATTAATGCAATGAGCTGCACATGGAGACCAAAATAATGTTTGAAACTCTCGCTCCAATAACCTACCAGCGGCAACATAGTTTGCAGCGTTGTCCGTCACCATGTGGACCACATATTCTGATCCTACAAATAACACAACATCTCGAAATAACTAGTATAACATGTCGGCACTTTTTGATTCATCTAAAGCATCCACAGCTTTTAAGAATACTGTTCCTTTTGGACAATAAACTAAAAAATTAATAAGAGTTCGTTTACATTGATTTGTCCAACCATCTGCCATAATTGTATAACCAGTCGTCCTCCACGTTAAACGATAGCTTTCAACATAATTCCATACCTCCTCAACATTTTTAGCCAACAAATAACTACGATGACTGTGAAAGTTCGGACCTTTAT